AAGACAAATAGCCACTGCGGATCTAATAGTACTGTCATCCATGCGGAGACCCAGTGAAGTAATCGGAGCAGCGTTGAGCCAGGCCCCGGACTCTGGGGAAGACACGGCGAGAAGTCAGGCTCGAACTCTATTATCAGGGGCCTCATGAAGGAGAGAGTCGAAGGTAGCCTGAGCAACAAGGGAGTCCCAGACCTTCTACACTGAACGGACATCTGCAGGAGGAGGATTTAAGCTGGGATAAGCAGATGACCAAGCAGCGTTAGCTTGATCCACATAAAGGAGTGGGGTTTGGGACAGATGAGCCGGGAGAATACGGTCCACAAGATTCCGTGAGGCAGCAGCAGATGAAAGGAAACAAGAAGGTGCAAGCTGCACAGCACGACGAATCCCCAGACCACCCATTCTAACTGGCAAGGAAGCCTGAGCCCAAGCAGTGATAATAATAATAATAATAATAATAATAATAATAATAATAACAACTACAATAATAACAAAGTAATAAAAAACGACAACAAACAACAACAATAATGACAATAAAAATGATTATAGTAGTTATAATAAAAAAAGCAAAGGAGAGAAAGGAATCACACATTGCTCATATGGTTTGCTTTGTCATTCTATTGTTATCTGTATGTAGTGGATAGAGTCAATGTAGCAAAGGATTAAAAATATGGTGACATCAAAAAAATGTTCTCTCAAACCTTCCTCTCCACACGCCATTAGATATTACATCAAGACCAGTGTTTTGATCACAATTAACCATCTGAAGGGGGAAGTGTTCATCTATGAGTGGTTGCAGATGGGGTTCTACCTAAACATTAGAACAAATCTCAGATAAAAATGTAGCAGTGATGTCACAAACCTCATTTTGGCAGATAGATGTAAACCACATGCAGGGCATGATAAAGCATAGTCCAGGCAGAAAGGCTGACCACACATACAGTCAGATGGAGCGTCAGGAATATTCCATCTTCACTGAAGGAGAATGGCATCTCCAAAAGCAGGCTAGTGGAAGTGAAAATCCAGAGAGGTTAAGGGGAGAGGTGAAACCCAGTTTGATGCTCCTTTCTCAGTGCAATGGTCAAGTGTATAACTTAATAATAATAACTAAAACAGAGAAAAATTACATGTAAAGAATAAATTCAAAAATTAACCTTATAAGTATAATCAAGATTCACTCTTTGTATAAAGATTAAGAAATACACTAAATACTGTAAAATACTGAATGTTATTTTTTGTCATTCAAACTGAGCCTCTGGTCTCCTTTTCCTCTCCCTTTCTCCATCAAACTTACATGATAAGATGTAAAAGATACAATGCAATGGTCCCTTGATGATTGATAATTCATCTGATTTTAATGATTCCTCCTAACCTACTAATCAATTTTATAATCTATAAAATATAAATAAATCCCATAAAAGTTGAATGTTGCAACAATACATAACTCTAATAATTTGTAAAAAATACATGTTTAATAAATTGTTTGCAATACACAAGCTTCATGTACTTGTACATGTAATGTACACATAGATGTAATATAATTTAACATTCAATACAAGGTACAAGTATTATATGCATAATACATGTGTAGATGTAGGATTATTTGTGTTATGTACACTTGCTTGTTTGTCTTCCCTTTTGGTCTATTTCAACTCTTTACTTTGTCAAATTATATGCTAGTCTTCAAAAATTTTGTGCACAGGTCTCTTCTTGTTTTCTTGGAGAGAGGGAGAGAAAGACATTTGAGAGAGAGAGAGAGAGTGAGAGTAAATGAGATTGTGAGAATTAGACATAATCAGGAGTCGTGATACATTCACCAACTGTTATTCTTTATGGCTAAATTATGTGTAAACAATGACATCATTTTTTATTATAGTGGTACACTATATTGTAATTAATGCTATATACAATGTATTAGATTAGTAATAACGATACACAGTGTTGATTCAGCAATAATAGAGCATATACACAAAATGGCACAAAATAAGCAAATTGTATTTCTTTACAATTGAGGATGCACACATGATTATGCTTACTGATTCAGATAAAATGATACTTGTCTGACTAAGTTGGTAACACTGAAAACATAAAAGACATTATGATTAGGTACACTTAACTATACCTATTTCATTCCTCATTTACTGACTCTAGTTTCCACTTCCTTTCCTTTTCTCTATCCAAGTTATACATTACATTAGATTATGTGTTGCATTGGTGAACTCATTGCCAAAAATTGCCTGAAAGACAGAAGAGGTAGCGTGTGGCTGTTTAATGGGCTTCAATGAACATGAATGAAAGACAAAGAGATAGTCTAAAAGAATGGGAACCAATTAAAGGAAAGAGAGGAAGAAAAAAATGTATCTGGTTAAAAATATGATGCTAAACAATAATTACAATAATTCAATATTCTAACTTACCCAAATCAGGTACAGTTATAGAGGTAATGTGATGAGTAATCCAATACATGTACAATTGTATATGTATATTGTTTAGATGACCAATTTAAAAAATAAACTATATATAAACAAACAAACTTAAGTGAACCATGTGTAAATACAAAACTTAATGTGCATTGTGCACACATTAAAATCGATAATTTATAAAACAAATGTAAGTGCATCTATAAAGTAAACTAAAATCTTAAGCAAAATCAAATTAAATTACATGTATTACAAATAATGTACAAAAATACTTTTTGTTGAATTGACATTACAGTGACCACAGCAAGTAATCTTTTTCTTTAAGATTGATGCATGATAAAGTTCCTAATATAATGAAAAGATTAAGAACCATCATTTATGTGTTAAATGATATCCTTACTAGACTATCTCCTCCCTGATTTTCTAATTACAAAATTTGTGTATGCATAGTTACATAGTGTATGTGTAGTTACAAAGTGTGTGCAATGTATGTATTAAATATGTACAGTAATATGGCAGGTTGGACCCCTTTAGAGTCACTGTACCAATGTAACAGT